TGTTGTTGCTGTCTGTGGTGGTGATGCTGTCAGGACCATCTCCTTTGATGTCTTCCCACTGTACTCTAGTATGCTTTCATTCCCCACTTCTTTGTTGGGATTGTCCAAAGATTTTACCAAATAGTGGGAGAGGAACAGGAAATAAAAATAAAACATCAATAGCCTACACGAGCATGGATTCACATAGTGGGGTCACTTGTTTCTGCCCCCATCGGAGTTAGTTTGCTTCCAAGGCCTTTGGCGATGCCTGAGTTTAGACCCTAAAGGAAGGGTCCTTTTGGAGGCACCTGGCTTAGAGTCATTCCCTTGACCTGTCTTCACATAGAAGATATTACCTTGAGACTCCTCGTTTGGGCATCCTTGAAAGACTTACATCATATCCTGTTAAGTCCCTCTTTGAGTTTGGGGAACAAAATGGAGTCTGAAGGGGCAAAAGCAGGGCGGTAGGGGAACAGAGTAAGGTTTCCCATGGAAATTCCCGAACACAGCTCTTGCTACTCTCAAAGGAAGAGCAGGTGCATTGTGTTTGGGCCGGGTCTGGCACGCGCAGCCCCTTCCCCCAGCCTCTCAAAAAGCTGGATGGATGGCCTGTGGGACTTTACAGCCCCTGCTTCCAGCAGTCCAAGGAGCTTATCTCTCCGGGTAGGGCCCACATGGCCCCTTCCCCCCACCTCTCAAGGCAATAGCTGGACTGTGCAGCCTCTTCCCCCACCTTCCAAGAAGCTGGTCTGTGAGGGACTCACAGCTGCAGCTGCAGCACCAGGAAGCCTCCCTTCTCCTTACTGGCACAAGCACCAGCAGCTCTCTCCACCTCATTTGCATACTTCCCTGATCCAAATCCTAAAAATATCACACTGCTCCACCTACTAGCCCGATTTCCTTGACCTAACTCTTAGGGTGACAGAACCCACCAGGAAGCTCAAGATGTTCCTGTCCCTTTCTCTGCCCTCCCTTCCCTCCCTGGAGTTCTTTCCCTGCTTCACTAAAATCTTTCTCAACCCCACATTCCTGACTGAATTCTATCTCCATTCTGCATCTCTGTTTCCACCTCTCACATTGTTATTTGGGGAAAACATTTCCCTCCCCCCCTTGACACAACTGTCCTGGCCTTTTGCTCACAAATGCAGTATTCAATTTCCTTAAACTTCTTTATAACAAGCCTCCATGATCATTCTGTGTCCTCTGAGAAAAATCTATCAAGATTAACCTTCTGAGCTGATCTCTTTGTTTGGAATTGAACTGGCTCCGCAGGTCTTCTTGGAAGGCAATATTTTGATGGGGATCCCTTTTTCAAGGCACTTGAAAGAGCCCTGCTGGCATTGAGGGGTCACCATTGGATTCTTCACCACAAGGTTGATAGTTCAAACCCAGCAACAGCTCTGAGGGAGAAAGATTAAGCTAACTGGTGTCATAAATATTTCATTTGGGAAATCATATATGGTTGTGTTAGACAGGGTTCTCTACAGAGATACAACCAGATTGCTGATAATTTTATATATTTACTTATAAAGATAATTAGATATATAACACTAGAAATGAACTGTTAAGTTATATACAGATAGATAGATAATACAAGAAATGAACAGTTAAATTATAAAGCAGTACAGATGGCTCAGTGCAACTCACTCCCTTGAGAGAGAGATGTGAGAGACTAGCAGTCCTTCAAGTCTAGTCTGTTGCCAGGTCTTCCTCTATATATAGAGAGAGCTAGGCTATCTCAGCACAGCAGCCAATCGC